ATCTTTGAAATGGTCAGAGTTTCAGATGCAGGGGCTTATGTATGTGTGGCCAAGAACAGAGCAGGAGAAGCCACCTTTACTGTGCAGCTGGACGTCCTGGGTAAGCCCTCCAAGAGATCACAAAGTATCTTTAATCCTGCAGTATTAAAAAAGAAAGTATTAAAAAAGAAAATCCTTGAGGACTTCATAGTTAAGGTTAATGTCCACACCATACAACCCAGTAGAACCCAGTTTTTACCCAAAAGCCACAAATGAGGTGGGAGGATGAGGGGGATAATACTCTTGAGGAAAACTCAGTGGAATTAGAATGATAGATCTACCACCAAAGCTTTTCTGGAAAGGAAATAAAGAAGTGGTACAATTTCAGACAGACCAATAAGATAGTAGAAGCATTTCTATAGATGTAACAAACAGGTCTTAAAGTGAAAAATTTTAGTCTAATCATTTGTCTTGTCTACAATCTAAAATAATCAATCTGACACATTTTCACAGAATTGTTGTAATCATGCATAGTTTAAAAGTGAAGAGTAAATGTCAACTTTTACCTTAGACTGTGTTCCTTTTACTAGGACACTCATCTGTAATTATGATAAAAAAAAATGCCTACTAGCTTTAGAAAACATGTATGGCAAAACTCATATCTTAAATGTTCTTTGTAAGGCTGTTCTCATAAAGTTGATGTTCTATTTTAAATTATTACAATTTAAATGCTTTAAATATATCACATTTGTAATGGTTTAAGCCATGGTATATCACATAAAAGAGTTTGCTATTATTCATTTTTTGTTATATAAAAGCTTGACAACTTGAAAAATTTTCTTCAGTTTGTATTCTACCCAGATCAATGAAAAATCTTTAAAATTATTCTATGATATAATAAGGGACCTCAGTCTAAGAGAAAAATGGATGACCTAGAAATCAAAAAGCAAAAAGTCAAGTGATTAAGCTTTGGGCAAATCCTCCTTGTGCCAATAGTTCCAGAAATGCCATAATGTTAGAGCTGAAAGAGACCTTGGCAGGCATCTGTCCAATCTCCTCATTTCTCCCTCAGAAAAGCCAGGGTTATGGTATTATAGTATCATTTCCTCTTATCCTTCAGGTATTTGAAGAAAAGACATAATAATTATTGACATTTGTATATTATTTTATTGTTTACAAAGTGCTTCTTCATTCATTATCTCAATTGATCCTCACAATAATTTTGTATGGTAAGCACAGCAGTCACTATTACTTGTGTATTGTATTATTTTACAATGGGTAACACTGAGCCTCAGAGAAACTAAACAAAATTTCCAGAAGTTGGCATGGCTAATGGAGCAAATAGAGAATTTGAACCCAAGTTAATGGTACTCTTTTGCACCACTCATGCTGCCTCTCTATAGATGACATGATAAATGACATTAAGACTTAAATTCTTTGAATGAAACATGATTATAAATTCAATGCATCATTACCTTACTGTTTTAGAACTCTGAATTGTATAATAATACAATGGTATTGTATATTATTTTAGCTAAAGCTAAAACATGAAGCTTCTGATCTTTTTTACTTTTAAAAACTTTTATATCAACATACAAATTTCATAATACTTTGGTTTGATTTAATATCTTTTTTATAATATTTAAAATACTTGATTTTTTATTAATATGTAGCAAAAGAACATAGAAGAGCACCAATGTTTATCTATAAACCACAGAGCAAAAAAGTTTTTGAGGGAGACTCAGTGAAGCTAGAATGCCAAATCTCAGCTGTACCGCCACCAAAACTTTTCTGGAAAAGAAATAATGAAATGGTACAATTCAACACTGATCGGATAAGGTAGGATAAGTATTTCAAGATTTAACTGTAATTTACTTTGGTCAATCCAGTTACACTTTGAAATGCATTATAAATGGCATGCATTTGTGATCTCAATTTGTCTCGTTTTTAAAACATATATAGAAATATAAACTTCATTAAGCCAGAATCCACTAATCAGAAATTTAAACCATAAAGTAGGCTAGCATTTAGCTTGTTACTAACAATAAACAAAGATGGCTCAAAGAAATAGATGATATAAACAAGATTTGCTGTGGGGATATTTAATTCGAGAAAACTAATAGCTATTTGGCAATGACTAAATATAGCCTCAGAATTCCCAAATGCTTCTTTTTCATATTAGTCTGACTTTGTAGATCACGAACATCCTAAATAAACTTTCACAGGAAAATCAACTCCTATACTTTCATTTTTTAATTGTTTCTTTTCAGCTTATATCATGATAACTCTGGAAGAATTACTTTACTGATAAAAGATGTAAACAAGAAAGATGCTGGGTGGTATACTGTGTCTGCAGTTAATGAAGCTGGAGTGATCACATGTAACACAAGATTAGATGTCACAGGTATGTCACACTGATATAAAGCATTAAGTCAAGTGTAATAAATGACTTTACCAGGAAGTCACAAATCCCAGCATAGCACAAAATCTGAGGGATTTTTCCTATATATAATCAGTTTTGGTTTCTTTTTCTTTTCCTAGTCTGATATGAATGCCTGGTACAACTCCTTTGTTTAGGTTTTTTAAATTAATTTTTATTTGCTCTATTTCAGCCCGTCCAAACCAAACTCTTCCAGCTCCTAAACAGTTACGTGTTCGGCCAACTTTCAGCAAATATTTAGCACTTAACGGAAAAGGTTTGGATGTGAAACAAGCTTTCAACCCTGAAGGAGAGTTTCAGCGTCTGGCAGCTCAATCTGGACTCTATGAAAGTGAAGAACTTTAATAACTTCACCAACATTGGAAAGCACAACTACACTATTAGTAATATATTCAATTGAAGTTTTGAAATAAATCCATAGCTGTATTAACAGATTATGACTTTCATTAGGTAATAAAACTAATGTACATTTATAATATTATTTATCCTTTGACTCTTGCACATTCTATCTACTTCTCTGGCTCGTGAAGCCAACTGAAAATCCGGGTACATGGTTTGTAATTGTAGAGTCTATCTTAAAATGTGGGATTTTAAACATTGAAGTCATACATTTAACAATTACAGGTTATGAATTAATATCAACTTTTTAGAAACAACTAATGCTTCTAATAAGATTTACTGGTACTGCTTTCTAAATACTGTTTTACCCATTTTCTCTCATACGAATACTAACACGGTAATCAATTATCTGAGTGTTCCAAAGTTTTATGTCAAAAAGAATAAAATTTCAATTACTTAAAAGAGACTGTCTTCTCTTCACAAAAGTCTAGATCTTTAACATAAAACTTCTGGTTTTTATTTATCCAACAACTAGCAAACCTTAAGGATAACAAGTTCCAAAAGAACAACCTTATATTCTAGAACGGTGTGTCTTCTTGGTAAAAACTCACGGCTCGATTTCTCCTGAAACTGGGCAAGATTTTCCAAGGTTTGCACTTCAAAAGCATGAGGAAATCTCTCCTGAAATTCTCATTGTTTTATCCAGATAAGTAACTAATTCTTCAAGATCTTTGAGACTATTGAACTCAATGGAATCAGAACAATTTGTAGCCCTAACTGGTTTGGCTCAGTGGACAGAGCGTCAGCCTGTGGACAGAAGGGTCCCAGGTTCGATTCCGGTCAAGGGCATGTACCTTGGTTGCGGGCACATCCCCAGTAGGAAGTGTGCAGGAGGCGGCTGATCGATGTTTCTAACTCTCTATCCCTCTCCCTTCCTCTCTGTAAAAAATCAACAAAATATATTAAAAAGAAAAAAGCAAAGCTTGGATTTTAAAAAAAAGAAGAAAAAGAACGATTTGTAGTCATCTGCTTAATTCTTATATTTAATGTAAATCTGAATAGCTGTATTTGGGGGTTTTTTCCTCCTACATTTCAAGTTCAGATAGCCTGTTACATTAAAAAGCATACTTTTGTAAGCATCGGAGAGTCTAAGCACAGGAAAGGGCAGACCCTTTTATTAAACTGAAGCTGGGACAGCAGCCTTTTCTTCTCTGGCCCCTGTCCAGCGGCTGTTAGGCCTCCCTGTCCCTTTTATCATCGGTAGCCTCTGACCCTCCCTGCTGTGTGGCCTCGTTTTTTGCTTTTTATCTGCACATAAAACAGCATTTATCAACATCGGTCTACATCTCTTTCAGGAAAATAACAAAAATGGCTTTATTTCTTTACTTTCAAAACAGCTTGATGGTTTTCTCTGCTGGCGGCCCTAGGGCCCTTCAACTGATTCCCGCTGTACTTTCCTTTCACCGGCGTGGGCGTCCCTTCCGCCGCCTCCTGGCCGGCGTGGTGCCCGTTTACAGCCGGGTCTGCGTGGCCTTTTCTAAGCTGGTTTACAAACCTCCCTGGTCTGAGCAAAGCGCCGGGGCCAGATGTGAGTCTGGGCCCCCAAGGAGTAGTTTCGGCCGGCCTTTTCCATAATCACTGCATCGCTGGGTTATTATTTATTTGTTCGTTTTTACCTATGTTAACGTTCCCTTTAGCCATACCAAGTGGGAAAGGAGGCTGGAAGCTACTTCTGGCAACATCTCTCGGCTAATAGCCAGTTTCTACGAGAGCAGCGGCAGCGGGGATCTCGGTTATGCCTCGGGCCCAGGCGTCCGGCCCGGCCAGCCTGGACTTGGGTAAATTAGCCTCTCGCACCCTCGGTTTCTTCAGACCTAAAATGAGGACAAAACACCTACCTTTCAAGAAGGGGTGTGTGAAGACCAAACAAGCCAATAAATATTAAAAGTATTCAACAAAGAGTGGCCCGTTATAATGAGTTACTATGTTTATGATTAGCCGCAGGCCAAAAGCCAGGTTTGCCCTAGAAGTCGCCCTCCGCTGGAGGCGAACGCCGCGACCTCCAGCCCCGCCTCGGGCGAAGCCCCTCTAGAAGGTCCTCGGTGCGCACGCGCGCTCACAACCTGCAGCGCCGCGGGCGCCCCTCGCGGAGCTGCGGGCTCGCGCAGGCGCAGGAGCGACGCGGCTGGCGCAGGCGCGGCGGACGTGGGGAGGTTGAGCGGGCGTCTCTCCGAGGCCCGCCATGCCTGTGGCCTCCCGTTGGCACCGAGGCGGTGAGGGATGCTTCTAGGGGGGGCATTTTGTAACCTCGTATCTGTTCATGTGAGAGAGATGACCTCCAGCACCTTTAGCCCTCACGACCTCCCCTTAGCGGAGGGGACGGCGGTCCCATTTTACAGGCTCGAAAACAAACACTGCAGGGACGTGGCCCTCGGCCCTGGCGGAGCCCGGAGCGGGGCGCTGGCATTTGCTGCCCGAGGACCATCGCTGGACAGTCGGGAATCGTGACCTTGACTGAGTCCTAGGCCGAGTCCTTTTCCTTCCAGGCTTCCCAGGAAACAGTATTGCCTGGTGGAGGAAACAATTAGGGACAGATGTGGGGGGTTTATTTTCTATTTTGCTTTTTCATTTTAAAACAGGACTGGTCTTTTCCTGTCCATCCGTTTCATGTTATGAAATTCATTAGTATACAGTCACAAAATGCCTGCCCACTTACCCCCAAGGGGAAATGTTAGAAATTATTCCTCCCTTATAAAAGTGAGAAGAAAAATATAATCAGAAGCCACAGACCCTGTCCTTCACACAGGATAGCACTAAAAGTGGCTGGTTTTACATCATTCTTATTTATATACATTATGAATTACATAATAACGTAAGGAAAATTTTGTTTTATATCTCACAGGGGCTCCAAAACATAACCTGCATTTCAGAAATGAAGTAGAAAGTAGGACCACACTTCAGGAGTTACTACTCTACTCTATTTTTTTAATAATCCTATGTATATGTAAGTACACAGATGTAGTTGAAATGCTACTTGAACTAAAGTTATGTGGAGATGAGAAATAAAATGTGGACTTTATAAGCCATAGGCTTTCAGAATACTAAAACACACATACTAGTGACACGTTTCAGACATTACCTTAAATTCATTTACATTGACACTATTTCCAATTCTTAAGGGACAAAACTTTAGATCACTGATGTAATGTAAAGCTTTCATAGTCAGCATTGGTTGAATTAATTATTCCTTTCAGTTGGCATTTCTGTCTTGAATGTAAATTATTCCCTTGAGTTGGCAATTCTAACTTGATTTCTTTTAGAGCCATATAGATACACTGAGGCCTGGTGCATGAAAATAGTGCGGAGAGGGGGTGGGGTCCCTCAGCCCAGCCTGCACCCTCTCACAGTCCAGGAGCCCTCAGGGGATGTCCAACTAAGCCGGCAGTCGGACATCCTTAGCACTGCCACAGGCGGGAGAGGCTCCCGCCACCACTGCGCTGACCAGCCATGAGCCAGGCTTCTGGCTGAGCAGGGCTCCCCCTGTGGTAGCGCACTGACCACCAGGGGGCAGCTCCTGCATTGCGTGTCTGCCCCCTGGTGGTCAGTGTGCGTCATAGTGACCGGTTGTTCTGCCATTCGGTCGATTTGCATATTGGCCTTTTTATTATATAGGAATAGGATTAGCTCAGTTTCATAGGTCAAACTACAAATGAGGCCAAAGGAGTTAATTTTAATCTCTGCTTTGTTCTTTTCCCTGTTCTGTTGCACAATTAATAGTAAAATATGCTTGTGCTGAGTCACAAAACATGGATCAGTACAGATCTGTTAAGGAGGACTGGGAAAACTTCTCAACCTACTTTCCTCCTATGTCGGTCAATGTCATTGACTTCAGTTATAAAGAACATTTTTAATAATATTTTTATTTATTTGAGAGAAAGGGAGAAACATCTCATCTGCTGCCTCCTGCATTACCCCCATAACCCAGACATGTGCACTGACTGGAAATTGAACCAGTGACCTCTTGGTTCATGGGCTGACACTCAACCACTGAGCCATACCAGCATTTTGTCTTTAGAGTGCCTAACATAGAGTAGATATAAGCTCACGGGCCTGACTGACTTCATTTTGGTATGAACTAAACCAGTGATGGCGAACCTATGGCACGCGTGTCAGAGGTGACACACGAACTCATTTTTTGGGTTGATTTTTCTTTGTTAAATGGCATTTAAATATATAAAATAAATATCAAAAATATAAGTCTTTGTTTTACTATGGTTGCAAATATCAAAAAATTTCTATATGTGACACGGCACCAGAGTTAAGTTAGGGTATTTCAAAATGCTGACACGCCGAGCTCAAAAGGTTCACCATCACTGGACTAAACACTGGTAATCATATATCAATTAATTAATAGGTTTGTAGGTGTGAGCTTGACTTGGATCTTGATTTAAAAGACAACTACAGCCAACCTTATAAATTAAGATGTCTTAGACTGGTTTTTAAAAACTACAACATTTAGGGAATAGAAAAATGTAAAAAGTTCATAATCCCATTATTCAGGATCAAAAACCTTTATATAATTAGAATTGAAAACAACTTAAATCTCCATCAACGGAGGATTTATTTAACATTCCAGTGAAATAATGCAACATTAAAGAAAGGCATAGGCTCATGTGTGCCATGGAATGATGTTGAAGATACATGATCTGTAAAAACTAAAAGGGCTTCTAGAAAAAAAAAATTATTCTACACTCCACTCTAAAACCCACCCACCCCCCCCTAGAAAGAGAAAGAATTCTAGTTAATACTTGTTAAAATTATTACCAAGTGCATAACATAGTTTTAAATGTTTAAATTCCATGCATA